GGTGGGGGGGGAGAATTAGGAGGGGGGCTGATGGGAAGGGATGGGAAGAGGAAACAAAGGAGGAGGCTACAATGCTTGATAAGAAATGTACTCATTATCTTGCTCATGTAATTGTAACCCCTCTGTACAGTATTTTCACAATTAAAAAAAAAAGGCAGAAGTTAAGGACGTGTTGCCTAGTATATAGTTTACCCCTGAAGATGGGAAGCCTTTGGATTGAATTTTAGGATTAATGCAATTTTGAGCTCCTGGGGGCAAAACAGAATCACAAACTATGTAAAAGGCATATGTAGGGTCTGGAGGCATGGCTCTGTTGGTCGAGTGCTAACCATGAGTAAAAATGTCAGGTTCCAAATTTGAGTCCCAGTCTCAGACCAGGAAAAATACATGTAAGCAGACACTGTTAAGAAAATGAAAGAAAAACATTAACTGTTGTAATAAAGTTGTCATCTTTGAGTGAGTATAGTACAGAAGTATGAGTAAAGGCTAGGAAAAGGATTGGACAGTTATGTCTGGCACTGGTAGAACACATAGTTATCAGTGGTGGAATTGTGAATGTGGAATTTTCTAAAACATTTCTAAAACTATTTTCAATTACTGCTATAAAATCATTGAAGTTACAGCGTAAGGAACAAAATTGAGCAACTGTTAGAATCACATATTCCTTTTATAGCTTTCTGGAGTTCTGATATCTGCACAGAATTGTAGTTACCTGCTTTTATTATGTTAATAATTTCTAGATCACATTCTGTGGTCTAGTTTAGAATTTTCTTGTCCATTTATTCTTGTCCACTTATTACATTTATTGTTATTTTTAGTTTATTTTGATACTCTTTTATAATGTTTATAGTAACATCTCTGACGATTTTAGTGATCAAAGAAAATAGGGTTATTATAGCTCTACCAGTGAAAATGAGCTTGAAAATTCATTTGGTTTGTCATTGTTCAGACTCTATGAGAAACCTATAATCCTTATGACCATCTTTTGGAATATTAAGAATATCAATTGTAATTTTTAGAGTATGTAAGAAACTTAGTTTCAAATAATATATATATAGACCTCAGCACAGGTCCAGTAACTCTCTGGAAATTATTTTTTTCACTATATATCATATTTTTCAGATGTCTTTTAGAACAAAACTGAGTGCACAAATAAAATACACAATGACAGTATTTCTAATCTGCTTACTGGGTAGATGGAAATCTGATTGGTTAATACATTGGATATCAACTGCATTTGGTAATTATGATTGAAAGAGTCAAATATATATTGGAAGATAGTTGTGTAGCTAGTTTCTCATAAATTAACTCTATTTAGAAAATGTATTTGCTTTAAAAGACCTACAAAAGTTCTGTTACCTTTGTAAGATGGGTTATCTCTACTCGAAGTCCTATGAAGTGACTTCTTTAGTAGGCATCTTTTGAGTGAACTGTTACTTATCTCTCACATGCTCACCTATGAACTGTTTCCCCAAAGTGTTCCCTTGAATTTTGATACTGAAACTACTAGAGTCTGCTGCCCCCACCCTCTCTTACTCTAAAATAAGAGCTACAATAAGTTTCTTTTCAAAATTGTAATGTGAGAGAAAATTTCTTTAGAATAAGAGAATAGATAACAATCCTAAAAACACCTGAATTTTCAAGTTTTTTGAAATGTCGAGTCTGAGAGCATCTGACATTTTTATATAATTTTCCTTAAAAGAAAGGATCCTGATGAACACTAATATTTCAGAAATACCTGTCTTCTAGTTCGAATGAATTCTAAAAATATCATCTAAATATAATTATTTAGAATATGACTTGTAAAAAATGTGTATATATTTGCTTTGTTGACTAATTTAGGTTTCAAACACTGTAATGATACATTATTGATAATAAATCTTTATTCCTCCCTTGTATAAACACAACTGCTTGTAAATGAAAGCAGCTTTATTGCCATGACATTTCTCTCAAATTGCAGTGTTAAGTAGGGTGGCTTTATGGAGGACAGAGCGCTACCACCGCTTAACCACTGTATGACATTTCTTCTGACTTGGGAGCTATTGGCCTCTACTCAAAAGGTTAGGGAATTTGGGAAACCTGGGAACAAGTACATAAAGAAAGATACTGCTTCCTTTTGCTCTGGTTCTGATCATCCAGGTCAAATGGAATTGGAAACATTTCCACAATATAAAGCTTATATAACCAAGTCAGTTATGACAATCTTCCTTGACCAGCTGGAATAAACTAGGTACTGTGTTTGTGAAGTATATATAGTAGCTGTTGTTGGAACTTGAAATACTTTGGTTTTTAGATTATGAACTATGAAACCTGAAGTAAAGGCATACAGGTTAGAGGAGACTGGAGTTTGAGATGATGTCACTTATCCCTTCAGCTACCCAGGGCTAGTAAATAAAAAAAGAAAAGGAGGGCTGGGAAGGTGGCTCAGTGGTAGAGTGCTTGCCTTGAATGCATGAGGCCATGGGTTCGATTCCTCAGCACCACATAAGCAGAAAAAGTGGTGTTGTGGCTCAAGTGGTAGAGCACTAGCCTTCAGTTGAAGAGCTGAGGGGCAGCGCCCAGGCCCTACGACCGACGAGAGAGAGAGAGAGAGAGAGAGAGAGAGAGAGAGAGAGGATTCAGTGAACTTCTGTCAACTGTATCCAACGCTCTCTGGTAGTTAAAGGTGGTGTAAAATGCTTTTAGAGTGGCAGAAAGGGGGGAAGAGTAGGTATTACTATATTCCTTTCCTTAGATCATTTCCAGAAATATTCAAAGCAGTTTTGTATGTCTTCATCTGTAGATGCAAAACCAAATCTAGTGTTTATTTCTAAGGGCATATTCCACATAGAATACTGATAACTTCATTTCCAAAACTCAAGAATTAACTCAAATATGTTAACTGATTTTCTCCTTTGAGAGGGAGGGAAGGATACTCTTCTGTTTTGTATGATGTAGTATTTCAAGTAACTAGAACCGTACCTGCGTACTATGAACTCAGCTAAAACTTTTAATTTCAGTTTTTCAAAATTTATGCGGTTCTTATAAATAAATAGTATTGCTAAATCTAATAGTCAGTTTGGATGCTCATGCCATATATAGAGATATCTATCTATCTATAATTCTTTCTGATAAAGGGATTTGATAAAGGTTAAAGAAAATCAAAGATAATTCTTGATGAATTCTGGGAAGATAATAAGGCTTCAACTGAATTTTTTTCTATGGGAATCATAGGAAAAATAATAGATGTAAGTAGAATTTAACCTTAGAATTGTTGAGATTATGGTGCCAAACGGTGCAGCTAAAAGATTGGGTGACTCGTTAGGCTTCTATAGAAGTGTGAGCGTGGAGGCCATGATTACAAATGATGCTCTTCGTAATGATGGTGGCTACCCTGTGTAGATGTCTCATCGAATCCAGGCACTCACTACAGATTGTACTGATTTCACCTCATACTCTCAGAAACCATGTTAATTAGATGCTGCTATTTTCCATTTTTTAGTTAAAGACCCCAAGGTTTACTTTAGCAATATAAGGTATCTTGTTTGTTTATTTATTTATTGTGTGTCTTCACACTTTGCTTCCATAAAAACTAAGTTTCATAACAATAGGAACTGTGTCTTATTTTTGGCTGTAGCTGACACAGAGTAGGTGATCCAAATAATTTGTCAAAAGGAATGAATGCATGCCTGAATGAGTGAAATCTTGTGACAAGAGAAAGAGCCTAACAAACTTCTAATGAGTAATGTAGTTGGTTTTGAGTGTAGACCCATCGCCCCAGTAATCAGCTTTCATCAAAGAGATGCAGAAGTGTTTTGGAAGATTAGGGCTGAGCAAGCCTCACAGAACTCTATTTTGAAGATTCATTGATTACCTTCAAGAGAAGTATTTACGTTTCTGAAGTACAGACAGAAAATAGATAAGAATTGAGGAATAAATGAAAACTTTTGACAGTAGAAGGGGGGAATGAGTCATATACTTTTTCAGGTTTAGTATTAAAGAGGAAAGGAAGAAATAGGATTATGGGTGAATTGACAAAACAAGAGAATTTGGGAAATTTAGTACTACGTTTGTTATTGTTATTAAGGTTTCCATAGGAAGGAATTTACGATCTATCAATGACACCATAGAGTAAGAGTCAACTTTCAAAATCAGACGTGAAACACAAAAATTTCACAAAAGAAAGATGCTAGCCTTATTTCAATTATGAACAACTACTTACTAATAGTTTTGTATTTCTCATATTAATTTTCTAATTTAAGTATTTTATACAGTATATATATAAGTATGTATAACGTATGTTTGTATGATCTGTGAGTATTTTTTTTCTTTTGAAACAGGTTGTAAGTTCTACAAATGGCGAGTTAAACACAGATGACCCCACTGCAGGACGTTCTAACGCGCCCATCACTGCTCCCACTGAAGTGGAAGTGATGGATGAGACCAAGTACGTACTGCTTTCGTTCGTTCATTTAGGAACTTGTTATTCTTTAGCTCTGCATGTTTCAAGTTCATTTGTAGTCACATTCACTTCTTCCCCTCCCCCCCAAACAGATATAAAAGAAGTAATACACTTAATTATTTTATTTCAAATAGTGCCATTTCAGTAAATACTTTAATAATATAACCAGAATTACAAACTTTGTTCAAATTCTCATTTAAAATTAATAGCATATTTTTAGCTTTTGGCACTTGAGCTTTGTATGAAAGTTGTTACCATACTATGTATATTATTCTTCCTGTAAGTATAAAAATAATTCATTTTATAGGATGTTATATAATTGGTTATTAGTTTTAAGATACAAATTATATTCTGCTTGGATAATTAGCGTGATAAACAATGTGATCATTTCATTGTGTGCTGTTTCTGATGATCTCTCTTTCTTTTTTTTCCTCGTATTTTTTTTTTATGTGTATAGCTGCCAGAAAGTGTTGAACATGTGGTGAGTTCTCAAGTGTAGGCAGGCAGAAATAGCTCCGTTGGCTATCATTTCAAATACTTAGCAGTTAAAAACAAAACAAAAAACAACAAAAAAAATAAATGAACCTCTGACCATAGAAATTATAATTGGTAAAAGCTATGTAAAAATATTTGCTATCATTAATAGTAGCTCGGGAGAGCAAAAGATATTTTTTTGAGGAGCTCTTTTGCCTGCTGCAACTTTTTTGCTTTGAGTGACGTTTTGATTGCATAGATGACATGTCCACTTTGCTTGTGCTTGTGCATTTCTTTTTATTCTAAATAGAAAAAGAGGCAGATTTTCTTTTCTCCTCTTTGTAATTACTATGAAATACTTACAACAGACTCTCTTCCCTATGTTATCACTAAAACTGTATTTTAGTTACTAACCAGTTATCATGGTAGTTCAATATAATGTTGACAAACTTAATGATAAACTCTATGGAGAGAGTGTGGATTCTCAAAGTAGCTCCTGACAATTAACAGATATCATAAAAAACATTGTTTTTACTTGTGAAAATGATACTGACACTGGCTTTCAGTTGTAATTTTCTGTCTCAGTTTCAGGAACATTTTGAGTCAGACTTAGAATAAACAAAGGAAGATGCTTAGATTAGCAAATTTTGAATCATTTTACTTATCATCGAATATTATATAATTTCTTTAAAAATGCTTATTCACATTGTATTTATTATTATAATTACTGTTATTTATTATGGAGTTGTACAAAGGGGTTACAGTGCTTTTTGGTCAGTGTCACTTGTGTGTTTTGTTTAAATATAAAATAGAGTTTGTGACTTGGAGGACCACTCCTTAGGACAGTTAAGAAGGCAGGACGGAAGGTTAGAGTAGTGTGATCCCTGTTAAGCGTAGCTGGTAGAGTCCTGCTGCCACTTACTTGTTACTGTCTTCATGCTTGTTTCCTTCCTATGAAAGAACGTGAATAGTGTTGCTTCATTGGTTGTGGAGAAATGTAAATGTGATAAAGCTCTTGTATAGTGTCTGGTATCTCCAGTTATTTCCTCATTACCAGACCCTAGGGACCTTTCTCATTTGCATTCTTCCAGCAGTGTCCCTCTCGTATTCTTCCTTCCTTCCCACCCTCTTCATAGGAACAGGCTGTTCGTTCTGCACTCACTTCCTTCCAGAGATTGGATTTCAATCAGCTCCATTACTTTTATTTTTTTATTCATTCAGGTGTACTGCTGAGATTTCAGAACTGTTGAGTACTCTTCTCACTCCTAAATAGATTACAGAGTAGCGGGAAAGATTGCAGTTGTACTAGCATAGGGTAGTTTATGATACAAATTATAGAAAAACAATTAGAGCTTGTAAAGAAAGAGATTGCTTCTTGACTTGGAAGGTCAGAGAATACTTTATGGAGGTGGCTTTGAAGAGTAGCATTGAGAGTGATTTATTTGGGGTGAGTCAAAGTGTGTGCTATGGGTTTGGTTATCTTTCTAGACATTAGGGAGACACATCTTTGGGAAGCCGGGAAAGGTACAGAACTTGAGGGATAAAGGGTAAAAAGTACAGCAGTGGAGTTCCCTGGACGCTGATGAGAGTGAGCTGTGCAACTCATGGGCAGAGGTGGAAGAGAGGAAGGGAACAGACATTGTATGAAAGGAAATGTACTTACTACCTGTCTCATGTAAGTACCGTCCCTCTGTACATCACTTTTATAATAACAGCAAAGTAAATAATTTTTTAAAAGAAGAATGAGAAAGAAGAAAGTGACAGATAAACGATTCCTGAAGGAAGTATTTTCCATTGCTTAGAACATGATGTCCAGATTTCTCTTTTTAAAATTGTTATTATAAAGGTGATGTACAGAGGGGTTGTAGTTTAATAAGTCAGGTAATAAGAACAGTTTTTGGGGGGGGACAGTGTCACCTCTTCCCTCACTCTCTTCCAGTTTTTCCCTCCCATCCCTACCTACAAGTTACATAGTTTATTTTCAACATAGTGTCTAGTGAGTACCGTTACTGCATTCATTCTTCTTTTGTCCCTCTATTTCTTTGCCCCTCACAACCCTCCCCAAAACAGTTAAAATAAGACCAAAAAAAAAAAGAGAGAGAGAGAACAACAACAAAAAAAGCGCCTTCTTGTTTCCATTTCTTGGGGTTCGTTTTGATCACTACTGTGCATGACCAGAGGCGGAGGCCTTGCGCTGTGTGCTCCTCTAGATTCCCAGTATGACAGAAAAGGCCCCTCGTAATGTTCACAGTCTGCCCAGCACCTCTGCCCCCATCTTTCTCACTGTCTAGCCTTCTGTTCCATTGATTGGTTTGGCTTTTCTCTGTTAAAGCTATTTACGTGTTTCCTACATGATGAAACTTTCTGAATTTGTTGAAAACAAGGTTTTTTCCATCCTCAGACCCCTCCCCCGTGGTTAAAATAGCAAACCTCAACAAACTATTACTAGTTAATGAAATAAGTATTTACTGGGCTGTCATGTGACCGTTTAAAAGAAGTGAAATGGAAAACATGTTAGGTGAAAGAAGCCAAACACAGAGGCCTCACATTAGATGATTCCATCTGAATGAACTCTCCAGAGTAGGAAGCATGTAGGGCCAGAAAGTAGGTTAGCGGTTTGTAAGGCAGGAAACAGGGGGGGGGGGGGGGGAGGACAACTGCTTATGGTAATGTGGTTTTTTTTTAAATGGGAAGCTAAACATCTTTCCCTTTGGTGGTGAGGATGGCCGGCCAGCCTGTGCACATATATCATTGTAGTGTACACTTTAAAAGGTGAAGTTGGAACATTTTCCTCAAGGTAGGTTATAGGAATCCTCAGAACTTTACTAGCTTTCCACTAAAACTCTTTAAACACATAGTTTTTACTTTTCCTTCAATGAGGTTGATTTTAAACATTTGTCCAGATTCATGAATACATTCCTCATGTCCTCTAGTTTTTGTCTAAGGTCAGCAGCTTTTCCTTTTTTAGATTGTGTTATATGATTCTGTTAGAAACCTGCCTAGAATTATTTCAGATTTTTTTTCTATCTAATTAAACAGCAAGTGGAGCTGTAGATTAAGTTGTAGAATGCCAGCCTTGAGCAAAAAACTATGGACAGCACCTAGGCCCTGAGTTCAAACTCTAGTAATGCCAAAAAAAAAAGGAAGGAAGTGATTTGTAATTGCCTAAGAAAGCAGGCTTCTTAAAAGCCAGCAAACAGTGCGATCAGATAGAAACATTTATTTGAAGCATCACTAGTGAGCAGAAAATTGACTCCAGGGTGTAACTTGTTTTCTTCTGTAATTAGATAATTGTTTTGTATCAGTATTCTTGAACATTTAAGAAACTTGTTGCTTAAAAGTATGTTAAGGTGACAGTGCATTCATTTATTGAGTTACTAGTATTCTGGACTTTGATAGTCTTTAGAATTATAAAAATGAACAAAATGTTATTTTTCAGGAGATGATTTTTAGTGAGAATAACAAAAGTAAAGCGATAGTAGTAAAGGCTATAGAACTTTCTCTAAAATTTTTTATTGTAAAGGTGATGTACAGAGTGGTTACAGTTTCATGTCAGGTAATGAGTACATTTCTTTTTGGATAGTGTCACCTCTTTCTTCATTTTCTCCCGGATTTTTCCCTCCCAACCCCCACAAATTGTATAGTTCATTTCCAACACAGTGTCTAGTGAGTATCACTGCTGCATTGGTTCACCCTTTGTCCCACCATTTCTGTGCTCCCCCTTTCCTCCCCAAATCAGATAAACTTACATACAAGGTACAGAAATAAAGAAATAGTGACCAAATATCTTCCTTTAATGAACCTAGGACCTCATACATGTCGGGCAAGTGATCCGCCACTGAGCTATACCCCAGCCTCTAGAGATGATTTGGGTAGGATAAATGGATTTTAGGTAGGTATACCCAAGATCATAGGTGAAGAGAAGAGTCTGAAAGACCATGTAGTATGTGCTAGTTGCATTCTTCTCCCTGTAAAGGTGACACTGAGAAGTTGAGTGAAGAACATAGTAAGGAGCCATGTGACTAATGCCTTAGCCAGTAGAGAATTGTCCATGAGACCATTATCATCAACTGCCCATCCTAATGGGCAGTTTAGCTGGTAGATTTGGAGAGAGGAGAGACTTCACTGCAAATTCCAGCTACTCTTTTTTTCAAAATGTTTTACTTGTTTTGAGACAAGGTCTTGGTCTGTAACTCATCTCACCTCAAATTCACAATCCCCTTGTGTCAGCCTCTTGAGTACTGGGATTAGAAGCATACTTCACCACACCCAGCTGGAAATTCTGTTCAAAGACTCAGCAGTTGTTTGGGCAAGACAAAAATTTCTGAACTAAGGCAGCATGAGAAAAGGAGGGGGAAAGATCGTGTGGACAGAAGAGAGGGAGACGAGACACTGGGATGAGATGAGTCTTGTAGGTCCCTGCTTGCGATCGTTCGGTGGATGGATGGTCTGCCCCTGATAGGAACCCTTCCTGCCTAACTGAATACCTCTCCCTATTTAAAATCAAGATACTGCAAGATGAAATTGCATGTTTGGTATTAATTTTAAGGGAAGAAGGGTCTTTGTCAAAGAGTTAAAAGATTAGATGCCATTAAAAGATAATTTGTCTTAGCTTACTTAGGTAAGGAGAGGTTGGCCGGCTTTTTCTTTCTTTTCTGTTTCTTTGTCTCTAGTTTCCCTCCCCCCGCCCCCCCATCTTTGAACTCAGGACTTTGTGTTTACTAGCTAGGCAGGCTTTTTTTCTTTTTCTTTTAATTACAATCTTGTTTTTGCTTGGAACGACTGAGACCATGATCTTCCTGATTGGAAGTAGAAACAGGAGCAGTCATCCAGCAGCTATACTAAAAACCAGTGCTTTCTGACCTAACCTTAAGGTTCAGACTTTGTTAAGAATGCCTTCCAAAACACCTATGTGAGATAAGCACAGAAACTTTTAATTCATGAAGGTCACTAAAGCCTGTGCCCCAGAGCCAAAACATTCATTTATTCAGTAGCTATTAATTAAATGAGTATCAACTTTATGCTACCTTGTTGGGATGTATCTGGGAGTAAACCCTTACTTATAAAGCTTAAATTCTAATGTGAAAGGAACAGGAATTTCAGAGTGTAATAAAGGAGTAAAAGCTGGGGCCACGTGGCTCCAGTTGTGGTACATGTGCTTATTAATGCTAACAAAGCTGTCAATAGTAGTGATTTAGGTCTGGGCTGGAGACAGTTGAGCAGAGACTTAATTCTTAATAATTAAGGGTATAACTCTTATTGGAAATGACTTTAAAGGAATCAACCAGGGTTAAACTATCAAGTTGTAAGGATATATTTTGGTAACATTTCTGAATTTGAATGCATTCACATTTGACGAGGCAATGCTGCCATCTGGTGGTGGTTTCTTTAGTAGCAGTCTAGCTTTGCTTTTGCAAGTCTAAGGCTATTTTTAGTTAGTGGGAATTTATGTCTTTTTTTTTGTTCTTCTTTGGTAGGTTGTTGTTGAACTTAAAGGGGTTCTACAACTAGAATTCACCTTAAGATCTTTAGTCTTAATGCCTGGCATGGATTTCTGTATTTGATCATACTTAGGTTGATAAAAGGTTACTTAGGTTCTGACTTTCAGAACTGAAAGCAATAAATAAGGCATGTGAATAGCTAATACAAGTGTGGAAAACTGGGACTTGAACATGTTCACAAAAATGCATATGACATTAAGTTTCTCATTCTAAAAGGCATATGTAACTTAAAATAGTATCTTAGAAAAAGCTTAAAAGAATAAACCAAGGAATTCAAAACAACATCATATTTAGAAACAGTTAACACCATTCAAAGGACTTTATACTAATTAATTTCCACTTTCATGTGATGAGATTCTTAAAGTTAATATTTAAATTTTGATCTGTTCATTTTGAATGCCAGTGTTTGATTACTTGCTTTCTTACCCTGTGGATATTTTCCAACTTGTTTTCCTAAGTCTTTGAAAGATTTAGTTTAGATGAGTGATTTTCATTTCTTAAAAAGCATTTTTGACTTGAATTATGTTTTCCTTTGCCACTCCAGAAAATTTATGCAACAGATTTGAAATAGATTTGATAGCTGCCATTATAAGTTTTTGCTTATGTTTTTCTAAGCATAGGAAAGATCAGTTACACTGTGGGCCTTGCTTTCCTGTGTCAGCACTTCTCTAAGCCCCTGATTGAGTCTTTCATGTTTCCTGGTAGTCTCCCCAGGGAGGTGAGGTAAAGTTTGTAAAGATTCATAATTGTACCTAGTCCTGGTTGAATCTTTATCAGCTGACACAATTCTTACTGGCATATTATTGACTGTCATTTTGTGTTGTTTGGATGGGGCTGTGTAATGTGGATCTCTGCATAAACCACAATAAATGATGTGGAATTATTTTTATTAAAGATAATTCAGGCAGAGAGATTGATAACAACTAGATAGTGTAGAATAGGTCTCTTAAAATTAGAGGGTAAGGGCTGGGAAAGTGACTCAGTGGTAGAGCTCTTGCCTTGCGTGCATGAGGCCCTGGGTTCAATTCCTCAGCACCACATAAGCAGAAAAAGCTGGAAGTGGCACTGTGGCTCAGGTGGTGGGAGTTAGTCTTGAGCTGAAAAGCTGAGGGATAGTGCCCAGGCCCAGAGTTCAGGCCCCACGACTGGCCAAAAAAAACAACAAATAGAAAACCACAGGGTAATTATTACAATTAGCTTGCAGATGTTGGTAATACTCCTTAATGAATGAAAGTTAGTAAGAATTGGAAGAACATTTTGCTTTTATTACAAAATATGCACACCAATATGGAAAACTCAAGGATACCTAACCATGTTTGCCTGTACCAAAAGTAAAACTCAAGACTAGAACGTGGATCAAGTGGTACAGCACTTGTCTTCAAATACAGGACTCTGAGGTGAAGTCCTAGTACCACCAAAAGAAAAGAGTAGACACAAAAGGAATTAATTGTTTAAATCTCTTTGGGTGAGTGCTATCGAGTCATACTCCTTTCCAGTTCCTGTTAGCCTCCACATCATTGTACAGTCTGGCAGGAAGAAGGTGTACTGTGAGAACCTGCTTCTCTCCAGGCTCAGAACTACGTTGCTCTGAGTGTATAGTCTGAACTATGAAATCACCTTGATTATGCTGTTTGAAGTCCTCAATATATTTTCACTTAATACACAGTAAGGTTGACATTCTTTTAGCTCTGTCAGTTTTTGGCATTATAGGTAACACTTCTCTTTTCCAGTTGATAATATGGCAGGAAATATAGAGTGTATTTCCTAGTTCTTTTTATCTCTGGAATCCAAACTGACTCTTGATGACCCTGAAATCCCTCCCCTTGGGGTCATTATTGCCTTTGTCACGGTAGCTTCAGCAGTCTTGTATGAGAGAGAACGGGGAGGCTGCCTAAGAGGACTGTAGAAGAGCACGCCCCTGTCAGCTTACTGAGCATGCTAAATAACGTGCTGGGTTGGTGAAAATGCAGAGTGCCAGAGGGTCTCCCCTCCTGGAGCAAAGCCATTTGAATTTGCTGGCTCCTGTGTGCTACATTTCCTAGGACGTCTTGCTACGACTAAAAGGCATGTTGATTAGACATAATAGTAACAACTCTGCCATCGTTTCACTAATATACATGCTTCACTGGTGTATTTACTTTTTTTTTTGCACTAGCCTGTTGCTTCTTATAACCCTTTATAGTTAATATAATCGATTCAACCATTGTTGAATGTGTTTGTATAACAAAGCACTGTTCCCTCTCTTTCCAGGTGCTGCTGTTTTTTCAAACGAAGGAAAAGGAAAACCATCCAACGTCACAAGTGACTGTGGCCACAGACAGGTCCGGGGGAGTTACTTGCACCTTCATCTGCTGTCTTGTGATTGAAGTCATCTCTGTAGTGACCCCACATATTTTCAAGGACTCACTCCTAGAAACAAAAAGTCATACTTTCCTACTTCATTTTGTGGTTGTCTTACATTCATATTTTTTTTCTACTTTCACTTTTATGGAAGCTTTAAAGTTTGATCAAAACCTGAGCGCTTTGTCCATCAGTGAATGGAGTGGACCAATGAGGTGATATTGCTGAGTACGTTTCCACAGTGTGTTTTCCAGAAGCTCTTCTCCTGCTTAGGAAAGCAGTATGGTATCTTACAGGTTAAGCAGTTAGATACCTAATTTGTTTTTTTTTTTTTAAGATACTTTGTGTAAAAGCATACTCAAATGGAAATTTCCTTCTCAATGGACAGGGCAGCAGCAGAGAAAACCAGAATTGGCTGACCATTTTAAAAACAATTCCTTGAGAAGTTCATGTTTTGTGTCATCTGCATTGATTTCAGCATTTCTGACGGTACTGTCATTCATGAGTCCTGTTAGCATTCACTCTGTGAATTGTGGTACAGTCACTACCCAGAGGTACTGAGCAAAGCACTGGGTGGGTCAGCAGATGGTGGTGATAACATGAGTCACAAAAAAGGGTGGGAAGTTCCAGCTCTGGCTTTTGTCGCCGTACTATGTGAAGTACTGTGTTGCAAAAGTGGCAAAAGCACTTGTTTTTTTAAAAGTCCAAATATTTGTATAATATAACTTTATGCTTCCAGATACTAGTGTATGTTAGATGTCAAGGAATGAATATTTTGAGAAGTTGGAATTTTTGAAAATACACTAAGAAAAAGAAATAAATGTGAACTTGGTTGTGCTATGTAAGGCTGAAGCGTGAGGTCCCTGAACGCTACTGCTGAATGATAGATCCTCCCCTGAGCAGAAAACCCAGCTGCTCTGCAGGGGTGTCTGTTTATTGTTTTGCTCTTTGGTTAAAAAACAAAACAAAAACACTTCCCAGCAATAAAAACTGGTCACTCACTCGACTGCCCTCTGTGTTTTAGGCCCTGGTTTTAACTTTGCTAGTTTTTGGGAATTTTCCCACTTGCAGCAAGATTTCGATGATTGAAAAATGTTAGGAGAGGATGGGTCAGGTGCTTTGTCTCCCTGGTCTTTTGAAGTGCCTGCAGTGTGTGAGTAGAATAACAGGTGTGTGGAAGAGGAAGCCCTTTCCACGTTTCTTTTAGTGTGCTTTGTTTTAAGCCATAAAGATGAAAGTCTTGTCACTTTTGACTCAAAGGGTTAAAACAAGAAGACTGGCTTGAAAGAATTATGTTGGTCAGTTCTCCTATTTACCATTCATTCATGAGACTTAGTCCAATCCCATGCAGTCTCTTTGTCTTTAAGTATGTGCCTCCAGTGTGCTTATTTATTTTTTATTGTTTCAAGGTAACATTTAAAATGTGCATCAATGTAAACAAATCCACATTTTACTTCATTATTGCATTTACAGGTATTTAATTGTACTTTGTAATTTATTTTTCTTATTAGCCAAAAGCTCAATGTGTTGTTTTTGATTTATTAAGCATCGTATGATACCACAAATCAGGACGTTGTTTGTCACTGTTGCTCTGAGTCCTAGGATTGATCTTTTCTTGATTTTGAAGACCTATTATGCCCAGCTTGGAAGACATTGGCTGTCTCATTTGGTCAACAGTTCCATTCTATCTGTTTGTGTAGATATTTGTTATAATGTCTTAAATTACAGAAGTTACATACTGAGCTTTTATTTTTGTTTGCTTTGAGCAAGATAGATGGATGTTTGGCCATTATAATGTGAAACCACTTCTTTATTTACAGTATTTGACCAAATTTGTGTGTCTATGATATTTGTAAAATACATGGGCTATCTGTATTTCTTATCATAAGCCTCTATTTAGTTTTATTCTCAGTAGGGTTTTTTGGACTGTACAGTGTTTATATGATCTGAATTCCTTATACATAAGAAGGTGTGTATATTAATCCAATTATGGACTTAAATATTTTAAAAGTATAAATACCCTTATTTGCTGCAAAGACCAGTGTGTAGACATTTGCTTTTTAGCAATACTTTTTTTAAGTGCTCCATTTTAATGCCAAGGACGGAGTCTTCCGGCAGCACGGACGGCCCGTGGTAGGCAGTGCAGGTGTGTGTGGGCTACGCCAACAATGTTTTGCATTTTTATGCTTTTCTGTCAACACTAATGAAGTCAACATTGCCTGAACGTCTGAATAATGAAACACATCCCTGTTTAAAAAAGTATGTAACTGAAAAAGAAATAAAAAATAAAGGTAGTTTTTTTACACTTGCCTTTTCCCCTTTACTCAAAGCACGGGCAGCATCACTCATCCAAGCAGGAGTTTTAGAAATTCACCATTTCGTCTGTGAGCTGTGAGCAGGAGAGCTAAAGGACCATGCTTTGGTTCTGTTAGAACGTAGCTGTGAGGGGCACATGATCCAGAAGATCAAACTGACTTTTTTTGGTTTATGTTTTTCTGAATTAAATAACTGAACAACTAGAGCTGTATGCTACTACACTGAAGGAAACAATTCCTTTTAGAGAGTGAAATCATGTATTATGCTCATAGAAGTTGAGCAGTGTGAGTCCCGTTTTAGGTGAGCAGATTTAAAATGGTTGCATGTGGGAAGTGCGAATGGTGACCGCTGGCCTTGCGCCGCCAGTGCTTGGCCTGGTGCGCTTGCGGCGCTTGGTTAGGTAAAGTAGCGCTCACCTAGCCTGGGCGGGCTGTTTCCGTTAAGCCCCACTGACCAGCAGGAGAACTAACATATAACACATCATCTTTAGACGGCCCTACCTAGAAAAACCTGATGTGAGACGGGTTCCCATCTCAATGGTTATGTACTGGTATTACTAAGAACCTTTAGAACTTCCAGTGATTGAACCTTAACCTGGCTTAAGCAATAGGAGCTTACACTTTCTTGTTTAATTAGAGTCCAGTCCTACAACACTTCAGACATGGTTAATCCCAGTACTAAGACTGGACTCGTCTTTATTTCCCTTGGCTTGCTCCCCCAACCCCAGGCCTCCCCCCTCCCCCCTGCCCACGTTTGGTGGTAGTACTGGGGTTTGAACTCAGAGTTTCCTGTCTACTAAGCACTTGAGAACTCCATTTTGCTTTAGCTTGCAATTCCCACCCCGATAAGCTTTGGTGCCTGGACTGGGTTGGACCACACTATGCTCTTCCTGTTTACACTGGGAAAGGAGTGGGGTTAGAGGCACATGCTGTCATACCCAGACTGGTTGTTGTCTTACTAATTTGTCTGGGTTTATTCCAAACTGTAATTCTGAGTAGCTGAGATCACAAGGCAGTGGCGTACTTTCCATCCTGCAGTTCCTCTCTTTCCGTGTGTGATGGTGAAGTGGCCACCCAGTAACCTGCGATTTTACTCTGCTGCCTTAGTAACTACAGTAAGATCTTAAGGTCTGCTTTTCTCAATGGTTTCAACAAGCGCTGATTACTGACGTTCCTGCAATGGATTGCGTGTCTACCCCAAACCAGTTACTATGGACAAGGTGATGCAGTTTTCCCAGTGGGTGAGCCTGGGCCGTGGGCTCACCTTTAGAAGCTACCTGGACTGAGAAATGGGGCAGAAGAGAGGTCACACAAAAAGATAGGAGGGTATTAACACTAGGAGAGTGAATAGCTACTGGATATAAGCAGAATAAACAGTCACCACAACGTGGCAAAAACGCACAGCATGAACACACACCTGATTAACTACCCATTACTGTTTTTCAGAATCTTAACAAGCATTTTTATTATTAGAAGTTACTTATGAACTTATGAGTACTGTTGAAAAATGTTTTAGAATCAGGTAAAAAAGGAAGATGATAAGTTACCTTATTTGATGTGCTTTTGTTTAGCTTGTCACCGTTTTGGTGATAAATTTGGATTAGAAGAGTTAAAACATAACTTTTCTGTGAGTGAAATAACTATGGTAAAGCTTTATGATATTCAGGGTAGCAAGTTTGTTCTCTGCCCAGCTCTGATAGATTTATAGACAGCATCAAGACTTACTTCCTAAGAATGTGTGGGTCATAGCAAAATAAAGGACTGGCAAGGTGTATCAACAGTGTATTGCTGGGACACTAAGTTCTCTTTCCCCTTTTCTTCCGGTTTTAGGCTTTGTGGATAAAAGCAAGCAAAATTAGAGGTTTTTATATACTTAAGCAATTAGCAAACAAATTTGCACATATTTTATTGATTAAATGTAAGACATAGTACCACTTGAATACCAATTTTAATACTTCAATTAGCACTTGAATACAGTAGAAGTATATCAGTGATAGAAATTTAGTTATTTTGCAAGGATACTACTTAATTTGGGATTTGAAGCTGACTGCAAATATTTGAGTTGTTAAATGCCGATCTGTGGCATGCATTTTCTATTTCACCTTTGAAAATGTCTTTTCCTACCAATAGATATTAACAAGTAATGTTCTCAAGTCTTGGATGAAATACTTGAGATTTCTATTATGTTTTTGTTCTTGATAGTTGCCTTTTATCAGATCTGCAGAAAAAGCTAATTTCTAATGCCATCTGTTTTTCAGTTGTAAGGAATTCTTTAAAGGATTCTTTTTGTTTATAAAAAATTCAGGCTGGCCTTAGGTAAAAATATTATAATAGCTGAGGATAGTGGCTCATGCATAAATCCCAGTTTTGCAGCAGACAGAGATGGGACGATCATGGCTCATGACCAGCCTGGGCAAAGAAATTAGTGAGACCCTATCTCAAGAGCAACCCCAAAACCAAGCCAGGTATGATGGCGCACATCTGAACTCCCCAGTACCTCTGGAGCCTCATCAGAATAATAAAAAGGACTGGGGGTGGTACTCAAGTGGTCGAATGCCTGCCAGACAAGCACAAGGCCCCGAGTTCAAACCCATGATCCCCTAAACAAAAGATTGCAATAAAGCATCACTGTCATCGAGCTGTTGTGTGATTGGGCAAGGCAGAATTTTCAGCTGCTTCTAATATTGGCTGGATTAAGTCTGTCCAAGTTCAGAAATACATAAGATTCACATACTTTCTAAAGAAAACAGCTATGAGTAATATACATTAGGTTTGAATTTCTAACATTTTTACAAGCTTTATAAACGTATCCAGGTAATGTTTTTTTCTCTTCCACATATATTTCTACCCCCATCAGTTTCAACACACCATGGGAGATACTATTTCAAGTTGTACTGGGTCAGAGTTTTCGGAGCTTCTTTGAACATCTGTTTGTTGTTCTGTTCATAGTATTTGTAAAGGTTGAATTGAATCTCAATTGACTTCTTCAAGTAATCTGTAGCTGCATTGGCCACACCTGCTGATTCATCAAAAACTAAGGAAAACCACTAAGAGTATGTGACTTGATTTAAACGAACTAGGGTTACACTGTAGTGTCCAAATGTCATAACTTCCTGCTAAAAGGTTCACAGTTGAAGTTTCTCTGGATGCACTTTGTGGCCACTGGAATCTACCACAACGAATGCACCATCAGCAGACAACTTTCTTAGCTAACAAATGATCCATACAGAAAGTTCCTTGTGTTGCACTTTGATTCTTATTGTGTGCGTGTGTGCACATGTGCATGTGAATAAATTCTGCCAGGAAAGGGATGTTTTAGTTCTCCAGTTGTCTGTTTCTTTCCTGTGAGTTGGGAATATTGTGGTGAGTGGTTAGTAATGAAGAAATAATGCTTTTAGCTCAAGTATTCCATAATAAACACAATACCTTGCCATGTAATTGTATAACAAATTCAACTCTCACTGTGCCTTCATGGTATCACATTCAAAGATTACTTTTTTGACATGATTAATTGCACTAGTAGAAAAAAAATATTTGTATGAGAATAGGTGTGACTCATGGGACTGCTGTTGATTTACAATCACTCCTGAGATCTAGTGTGTGGAACAGCAGTACAGAGCAAGATATACCACATCTGGGCTCCTTCACCAGTGTCCACTCTGCTCTTGTAGCATGTTTGTATTTATAGACACTGGAATTTGAATTTCAAGTAATTTTATATGTCTTCAAATATTGTTTTGAATTTTCTAACCATTTAAATACAAATATTAGCTGTCTGCTGCAGAGGTATGATCATGGTTTGAAGCCAACCTGGTTAGAAAAAGAGGGAAGTCCGAGACTTTATCTACAATTTACTAGTAAAAAGCCAGAAATGGAGCATGGCTCAAGGGGTAGAGCACTTTAGCACAGAAGCTCAAAGACAGCACTCAGGGCTTTGAGTTCAAGCCTCAGGACTAGTGTGCATGGACACACACACACCACAAATTGCTAGGTGCTAATAGCCCATGCTTGTAATCTACTCAGGAAGTTGAGATCTGAAGCTCATAGTTCAAAGCCAGTCAGAGCAGGAAAGTCCATGAGACTCTTTAAGCCACCAAAAAGTCAAAAATGGAGGTGTTACTGTGCTGGTACTGTGCCAGCCTTGAAAAGCTCAGAGACAGCATCCAAGCACTGAGTTAAAGCCCCAGTAGTGACACACACAAGCATATATATATACATATATGTGTATATATATATATGTATATATATATGATCCTTACTACCCCATTGCTCATTGGCTATATTGTCTCACTTAAGGACATACGTGAACTAATATGACTGATTTTATACCTTAATAAAAACAACAAAGTACCAGGGAAAGCCCTCTGTCAAGCCAGTAATATGCTGAGGTGGGTCAGTACCAACCTATTGAACAAAGTCTAGTATTCTCATTGCTATAGACAATTCTTTTGACCACTTGAGTGCCATTAGCTGTTTATCAGGTGCTTTGCCAAAATCCAGGTCAATCGTTCTCTTTTTTAAAAAAAATTAATTCCATTGTCAAGGTGATGTGCAGAGGAATTATACACCTAAGGTGGTGAGTACATTTCTAGTTGAACTTGTTCCCCTTCCTCATTTTTCTCGCATGTTCCCTCCTCCTCACCCCCCCCACAAGTTGTACAGTTCATTTCCAACATAGTCTTGTGAATATTGCTATTGCCTTGGTTCTCCCTTTGTCTCACATTTTGTTGTTTTCCTTCCCTTCTCTATTTCAGATAAAGGTATATACCATACCCAGGGCACCAAAATAAAAAACAGCGACAACGGGGGATAACTATAGGAAGAAAAAACACAAAAGAAAAAAAAATCACATAGTACATTAAAAACAACAACAAAGAAAAACCTCGTTTCCATGTGTTGGAGTTTATTTTGCTTAGCATCATCTTATGTGGTCATGCACATAGCTATTGAGCTATTCTGCTCATCTGCTAGGACTATCCTAGACATAGAC